ACGTTTTGTTCCGTACAGTCAACAAACACAACGTTTTGTTCCGTACTATCAACAAACACAACATTTTGTTCCGTACAGTCAACAAACACAACGTTTTGTTCCGTACAGTCAACAAACACAAAGTTTTGTTCCGTACAGTCAACAAACACAACGTTTTGTTCCGTACAGTCAACAAACACAACGTTTTGTTCCGTACAGTTAACACAACGTTTTGTTCCGTACAGTCAACAAACACAACGTTTTGTTCTGTACAGTCAACAAACACAACGTTTTGTTCCGTACAGTCAACAAACACAAAGTTTTGTTCCGTACAGTCAACAAACACAAAGTTTTGTTCCGTACAGTCAGCAAACACAACGTTTTGTTCCGTACTGTCAACAAACACAACATTTTGTTCCGTACAGTCAACAAACACAACGTTTTGTTCCGTACTGTCAACAAACACAACATTTTGTTCCGTACAGTCAACAAACACAATGTTTTGTTCCGTACTGTCAACAAACAACGTTTTGTTCTGTACAGTCAACAAACACAACGTTTTGTTCCGTACTGTCAACAAACACAACTTTTTGATTTGTACGGTCATGAAATGCATCGTTTTGATCTGTAAACACATCGTTTGATTCATACGGTCAACAAACGCATCATTTTGATCTGTACAGACGCAGCTTCGGAGATCTGAAACAAGGTGCAGGTGTTTCTGATTCAGTAAAAATGGGGATTTCTGGTTGTTTTAAGCACAAAACCAAAATGTTGTGTTTTTATTTCTCAGACAGACAGTGATGTTGTGGTCCTGGTCACTGGAGTCTTGGTCCTCATCACACTGTTACCCATGATCCCTCAGGCTGGGAAACAACACATTTATGACTTCTTTGATGTGTTCGGCCGCCTGGTGTCCTGGAGCTTCAAAAATCCCGGTAACGGTCCCAGAGCTTGAGTCTTTTCTGCTGAAGGAGAACTGTGTTGTGATTGGCTGCTTGTGTTTCCTGTAGGACACGTGTCCGTAGTGTTCCTGGTCCACCTCCAGGCAGGTGTGTACTCTCTGTTCCACCGTCTGTACGGGATGTTCCCCTGTAACTTCATCTCCTACCTGAGGCTGCACTACAGCATGAAGGAGAACTTGGACACCTTCCAGGAGGTTGTCAAGGTTAGTCCAGACCAACAAAGACCAGTCGAGACCTCTAAATACCAATACAGACCAACATAGACCAGTCCAGACCTCTACATACCAATACAGACCAGTATAGACCAACATAGACCAGTCCAGACCTCTACATACAATAGAGACCAGTATAGACCAACATAGACCAGTCCAGACCTCTAAATACCAATACAGACCAGTATAGACCAACATAGACCAGTCCAGACCTCTAAATACCAATACAGGCCAGTATAGACCAACATAGACCAGTCCAGACCTCTAAATACCAATACAGAGCAGTATAGACCAACATAGACTAGTCCAGACCTCTACATACCAGTAAAGACCAGTATAGACCAACATAGACCAGTCCAGAACTCTAAATACCAACACAGACCAGTCCAGACCTCTAAATACAATATAGACCAGTCCAGACCAACATAGACCAGTCCAGACCTCTAAATACAATACATACCAGTATAGACCAACATAGACCAGTCCAGACCTCTACATACAATACAGACCAGTCCAGATCAACATAGACCAGTCCAGACCTCTAAATACCAATACAGACCAGTATAGACAAACATAGACCAGTCCAGACCTCTAGATACAGACCAGTATAGACCAACATAGACCAGTCCAGACCTCTAAATGCAATACAGACCAGTCCAGACCAATACAGACCAGTCCAGACCAACATAGACCATTCCAGACCTCTAAATACCAATACAGACCAGTATAGACCAACATAGACCAGTCCAGACCTCTACAGACCAACATAGATCAGTCCAGACCTCTAGATACAGATCAGTATAGACCAACATAGACCAGTCCAGACCTCTAGATACAGACCAGTATAGACCAACATAGACCAGTCCAGACCTCTAGATACAGACCAGTATAGACCAGCATAGACCAGTCCAGACCTCTTAAATGCAATACAGACCAGTCCAGACCAACATACACCAGTCCAGACCTCTACATACCAGTACAGACCAGTGTGGACCAGCATAGACCAGTCCAGACCTCTAAATATAAATACAGACCAGTATAGACCAACATAGTTTCAGCCAGATGGTCGTTGAACAGTTGTTGGTTCTGATCCGTGTCTGTGTTTTTTGTTTTTTACTTTCAGCCGATGTTGGAACATGTCCGGGTCCACCCGGAGCTGGTGACAGGGACTCAGGACAATGAACTGGACCCATCCAGGTTAGTCCACGAGCCCAGAACCAGAGCTGAACCCAATATGACCGTACTAACCAATTCAGGTCCAGGATCAGGATCACCTGAATCCGTTTCAGTTCTTGGTTTCGTTCCCTGTCAGGTGGAGACGTTATGAAGTTCATGACATCGTGATTGAGTGCTCCAGGTTGTCTTTGGATCCTCTGGAGTCGTCCTGTGAGGAGGACACCTACTCCTCTGCTACCCTCAGGACTCCTTCGCTGTCCTTTCCTCCTCCTTATCTGGATCTTAGCTCCGCCCCTCATGACTCAGAGCCAGTCAGCAGCTCAGGTGAGCATCAGCAGCAGACAGGTGTTGTTTTTCATGTGGTGTACCTGATAGTGTCTGCCTCCTGACAGGAAGTTCAGTTTGTGGGCGTGTACCTCAGCTGACCCTCAGTACCTCCAACATACAGGTAATCCCACCTGTTTGTCACACCTGTTGGACCAGGTTCATTCAGACCTCAGTGTCAGTCTTTCTGTGTGCAGGCCGATGATGTCACATGGAGCCCCTCCTCTCAGTGCGGTTTGTCCACACCCCCTCCTGAACCTGCAGCTCTAGGCTCCGCCCCCTCACTGAGCAGGTGCTCCTCTGTCTCAGGTGAGCTGACTTTAGCTTTCTCTTGTGTAAACAAAACGAAAACAGTGTGCGTACAGGTGGGAAATGTCCTCACCAGCTTATTTCCTTGTAGCCCCGCCTACTGAGGACAGTCACCGACTCAACGCCAATTACCAGGTGAGATCAGATTACTTTTTTTTTAGTTTTATTGTGAAGGAGCAGCAGGAAGTCAGTCCTCATCTGTCCTCGCAGGTCAAGCAGCCAATCAGAGTGCAGGAGGAGAATGATGTCATCAACAACAACCTGAGCAGTGCAGGTGAGCGAGTCAGCTGACCGACCTGAGTGATGTCACCTCAGGTGTTGAGTTTTTAGAAACTTTTTGTTTGTCCGCAGACGTCAAACCGCCGCCCTCCTCTTCCTCTCAGCTCCTCCTCCTCACCTCCACACCGAAACGTGACGACTCCTCCTCCAGCCTCCCCGCTCCCACTGGCTCAGCCCCTCTCTGCCTAGCCCCGCCCCATCGATCAGAGGAAGGAGGCTCCGCCCTCTCGGACAGTAGCTCTGCCCTTCCTTACGAGTCGCTGTTTGAGCTGGCGTTGCCCCGAGCGGCCACGCTGTTCATCGGGAAGAAGACGCAGGTGAGCCGAGTCAGGTGTGCCGAAACGCGTTTCAGTTTCTGCTCCTGTCGCTGAGCCTCCTCCCGTCCTGCAGGAGGCGCTGCAGAGAGCTGCAGGAGAGCCGAAGGAGGCGGAGGTGGAGGAGGAGGAGGAACAGGCAGCCATCTCTCCTCTGAAGGCTTTGGATCAGATGATCGTTCACGGAAAGGACGCTCACGAGCGCCTCAGCAGGAGGCGAGTTCACAACGCTCAGTTTTTAGAAACATCCAGATGATTGGTTTATTCTGCTGCTGGATTACTGACTGTAATCTGATTACTGTAATCTCATTACTGTTATCTGATTACTGTAGTCTGATTACTGTAACCTGATCACAGTAGTCTGATTACTGTAATCTGATTACTGTAATTTGATTGCTGTAACCTGATTACTGTAACCTGATTAATCTGATTACTGGTATGATTACTGTAAACTGATTACTGTAATCTGATTACTGTAATTTGATTGCTGTAACCTGATTACTGTAACCTGATTAATCTGATTACTGTAGTCTGATTACTGTAATCTGATTATTGTAACCTGTTTACTGTAACCTGATTAATTGGATTACTGTAATCTGATTACTGTAACCTGATTAATCTGATTACTGTAGTCTGATTACTGTAATCTGATTACTGTAACCTGATTAATCTGATTACTGTAACCTGATTAATCTGATTACTGTAGTCTGATTACTGTAATCTGGTTACTGTAACCTGTTTACTGTAACCTGATTAATTGGATTACTGTAATCTGATTACTCTACAGGCTCTCAGTGGGAAACAAAATGGTGGATCGGAGTCATTTTGGAGGTAAACAGCAGAGCATGAAAAGCAAAGGTACTTGAAACTAACACACTCACCAATCACATTAATATCAGCCGAACATGACGGGAAACATGATTTTAGCTACAATTTTCATTAGTCACTTTAATATCAGCCGAACCTGAAACATGATTTTAGCTGCTCATCAAACAGGATCAGATCATTAATGAAACCAAAGATTTGTTTTCTTTCAGGAACAGTAGCAAAGGCTAAATAAAAGGAGGAATATTTTTAGCCAGAAGCTAAAACTAGCATAAAGCTACATTTGCAAAATCATAAGTAAAAGCTAGAGTAGCAAAAGTGTAGGCTAGTTAGAAGCTAAAAGTAATAGAACTGTAACTAAAAGCTAGAATAGCAAAGTGGTATGTGGTAAAAGGCTAGCAACAAGTTAAGTTGCAAACCAGTAGGTTAAGCTAGAACTAGCTAAAACTATAATGGCTAAATAATAAAAGCTAGAGTAGCAAAAGTGTGGAGCAAAATGCTTCGTAGAAACTGAAAGTAGCAAAAGAATAGCTGGAAGCAACAAAATTCAAAATCATATCTAAAAGCTAAGAGTAGCAAAATGGTAGGTAAAAGTAGCAAAATGCTAGCTAGAAGCTAAAATTATTAAATTAATCGCCAGAGCATAAAAATAGCATAATGCTAACCAATAGCGAGAGTAATAAAAATTGAGTAAAAAGCAAAAATAATAAAATTAAAGCTTAGTAGCAGAAGATAAATTGAAAAGTAGCTTAAGATAGAGCCAGTAGCTGAAGAAAACGTAAAAAATAAAAATTGTTTTAAATGAAATAAGGAGATCTTGATAAATTTATTTTGGTGAAAATATTTTAAAAAGTATAAAAACCAGAAGCCACAACATCTATCTCCTGAAAGAGCTGAACGTTTTGATTTATAAACGACTAAAAAGCACAAAGTCAGCAGAATTACTTAGCAAAAAAAAACCTACTTGTTAAATGCTGACTCAGCGTTCTCTTAATAAATGTTCATGTAGACAGTAGATGGCAGTGTGACACACTGACTGGTTACTAACCAGGTTAACTCGTCTCTGGGTTGTTGTTTGTCTTGTGAGGGTGGTGCATGTGATGGAGTGAAAATAATATAATAAAATAATAATAATAAAAGAACAGCATCGGCATAAATGCGTGTGTTAGCAAAATATCTCATGAGCCAGTTTTAAACTGTTAGAAAGTATCGGCTGGATGAACAAACTGAGTCTGCCCTGCCCAAGATGGCCGCCACAGCTGACTGACATCCAACACACTTTGAGATGGAAGGTTTTATTTGTGCGTGTGTGTGTGTGTGTGTGTGTGTGTGTGTGTTTCAGGCCCCGCCCAGGGGGAGGAGCTTCAGACCCTGAGGAGTCAGCTGTTGCTGGTTCACGGTCAGCTTCAGTACGAGCGCTTCAAGCGCCAACAGCACGCCATCAGGAACCGCCGCCTGCTGCGACGAGTCATCAACGCCACTGCGCTGGAGGAGCAGAGCGTTGCCATGGTAACGACTGTCCAGTAATGATCTTCTGTGTCCTACTTTGTCTTTGTACTAACAGTGTAACACTAAATCTGCTCAATTTAATACTGCCCTGCTACTTTTAGCTTTAAGCTACTGCTCTGCTACTTTTAGCTTTAAGC